TATATCTATTGAATCAAGAAAAAAGGAAAGAACATATGTACGAATTTGTTAACCTGCTCAATAAGCCAGAAGCATTTGACCACAGAAACTGAGCTAGCATGGCAAGGATCACAGCGAAACATACAAGCGTCAGAAAGTGGTAGTCAAGCCATTCAAAAAGCACCCATATAACAGTTGCACCAGCTAAGACACTTGCTGAGATCTTCTTGTTCCTCCACAGTAACACATCAGCAGCTGCACAATTTGGTCAGGTATATGTTCAAAAAGCATCACGACTTCACCAAATTAACAAAACTAATCAGGATATCGTACACTTTCCACCCCCAAAGAGACGGTGAAGCGGCTTCTGGCGTCCAAAGAGCCTATTAAATTGAGAAGTAACTGTGTCGGACTTGTCCCCCTCAAGGAATGAAACAGACTTCTGCTTAGGAACATTTTCAGCAATTGTTTCCATGATCTCGCTGACCAAATTCTCAGCTGTTATTTTCTCAGGCATTTTTCCTGGAATTCAATGAAGAAAACCTTTCGGACATTCAGATCATGCAAGAGAATGCGTAAGTCCTAATCCTCATGAGACGGTAGGAAGCAATATCATGCCAAAATCACGCACAACTTTGTTAACTTATTCCTGAAGTTAATTCTATATGCAGAGGCAACCCTGTTCACATTATAAACCAGCCAAAGTTTTAGCTCCAACGGCAAAAGATTCAACAGTTCAAATTCTTGACCATCAGCTGCACCACATCAATTCTGAAGCACCGTGGTGCCGCATTATTTTTCAATTTCTGGAATTCCACAGAATTGGACCTATAAACCTAAACATCGGATTCACCAATTGTATAATTTTGAGAAAAAAAAATTAAAAATCACGGCCATGAGCCGACATCAGAGCAGCTTTAGATGGTCCCGGACTCACAGCGGTTAATCAAATCCCGCCGCCATGCACAGCAGATATCGGCATCAACAAACCGTAGAAGCCAGCCATCAATAACAAGAATCAACGATACTCTCGACAAAATGCTCACGGAAGATGATATGCCATTGCCGTGCCCCAGGTCTGAATAGCAAGCTCCCACACAAGCCCATTATAACACACGCTCCCCCTCGTCTTAGCCGAGCTACTGCTCCGAGGGCCCCTTCCAAACGGGGGGGCCAAAAAACGCGCATGACCACCGCCGATCGGTGTCCGAGTACAACAAGCAGCATTTCGCGCGAAGACCACCTCATCTCTACGGTCAAATCCCGTCCCCCGAAAACCAGCACTTTCGTCACGCGCGCGCATGACGAAACGCCACGGCGTACATTCACTCAAGACGCCGGAAAAGAAAGAAAACGTCAGCCGAAGCAAAACACACGGACTAGGAAATCGTGCCGCCGCTAGCTCAGATCACAAAAAAGGAAACAAAAAAGAAGAAAACGATGTACGGCAAAGGGAACGATCGCATAAATAGGCCTAGCGAATTTCACTTAGCGAGCGGAAGGGGAACGCGGGCGCAATCAATGCGACACCGATCGAGCGGTGCATACCGGCGAACCGAATCGGGAAATCACGGGACACAAAGGGGGCCGGGCGGGGTGGAGCGCGGAGAAAACGAAAGAGCAAAGACGGCGAATCGGAAGAGCTGGAAAGGTCACAAACCGGATGACGAAAGGAGCCGCTGCTACTCTTCTTCTTCTGCTTCTGCTTCTTCTGCTTCTTCTGCTTCTGCTTCTGCTTCGTCTACTTCGTCGTCTTCTTCGTGTTGTTGCTGCTGCTGTGTGGTTGAAGATCAGTAGCAGTTGGTGAGGGAAACGCAGCTCGTGAGCATCGAAGGGAGCAATGGAGGTTTCGGGATTCTGGTAAGTGATAGGACAGGTTGATTCGTCGTGACCAGTTTCGTCATTATCGTCCTCCCTCTGGAGTTTTTCTCGCCAAAAAAAAAAAAGAAACGAAGATATTTTTTTTGCCTGCGGGGGCCGCTTGACTCGATTTGACTCCTTTTGAAAATTATTTTTATTTGCCGGTTTTTTTTTTCTCTCTCTCCGGGGAAAATTAAAAACGAGCTTACCGAATTCTGATTTTCCTTTTCGCTTTTTTTTTTCCCTCCTCGGATATTGAATTAGGATAATAACACGAACGGTACCAAAATTTCATTTGTTCGATATGGTCCCTCAACTTTAACCAGATATGCAATATCATCTCTGATCTTTTTAATTTGTTTAATGTTGTCCTTCAATATTAAATATTGCCCTACGTTCCGGGGACTATATTGAACGTATTCTAAAAGCCCGTGTATCACGTTAAACAAAACTAAATGTTCATAGACGACATTGCACATTGAATCAAGATCCAGGGACCGCATAGAACAAATTAAAAGTTCTTGGACGATATTGTACATTGGGTTGAAATCCAGGGTATATTCGTGTCATTTACCCAATATGACTACCTGAGATCTCTTAAAACATGCATTTAAAGTGTTCTTCGTAATTTTTTTTTCCAAGCTTAGAAACAATATTTTTTTTTCATTAACTGTCCGTCCGCCCTCGCCTGCCACTGCTCGCCGCCCGCCCGCCCTCCCACCCGTCGGCCGCCGAATACGGAAATTTAAGAATAACCTATCAAACGAATTTCAATTCCAATAACATAAATTTTGTATCGTTATCGAACGCTACCTTTTACTCAAAAATTCGTGCAGGAAATAGAGCCTGAAATAGGGCTGCGAAAGAGAATGGTTATCATTCGCGCCCTTATTCTTCGTTATGTTTCCTTATATTTACTGTGACTAACAAATTATAAGGGTGAGCTACACTCACACACAAGCGCAAAAGGCACAAAGATGTATGTACTGTACCAAGGAATTCCTTGCATTTTGTACTGATTTTTCTATTTATTTATCAAGTGAAATGGCAAGCTAATTAGAGTTCCGGTCCCGATCGCCGATAGCCGATAGCCCACAATTGTGCCGCAATGCTATGCCAATGGTGTGGCCTATCGACGCTTCTCATGGTAGCATGGTTTGGTTAGTAGCTAGTATAGTCAAAGTAATCGACTCTCCATTAGCCTTGCCATAAGTAGTAGTTGCAAAACATATGGGGACGGGCCACATTAAGCAAACACACGCGCCCGAACACCAATACCACCCCGGTCCGAACCGGGGATCGGCTCGTGTCTCGTTAATCGGCCCGGTGAAGAAGCCGTTCCCAGCGGGGCGAGTGGACCGCGTCGTGTCGAGCCGTGCCGTGTCGGAGTTGTTCTCGATAGAATATGGTCGAATTACTCAAAAAGATACTCAGCAAACACATTCGACCCTTTTCTTTATAATTTTAGCACATAAGAGCATGTCAGGAATAACGTTTTTTTCGGAGAAAGGCGTGTTTTCGCATTACGATAATGGGAGAATCTTTTTGTCCATTATGTCGTAAATCCTGTCGAGGCACGTGACCATGTAAAGGGGAAGAAGAGCTTTGTGTTCTTCCTCATCTCATCTGGCTCGTGCACCTACCATTCTTGAACCAGATTGAGGGCATTGTTCACTACTTCACAAGCCTGGATCATGAATTCTGTGGATTGTTGAGGGATCTGTCCACTGCTCAGCTTTAGAAATCGATCTTCTTGACATCTTGCCTCCCTAGGCTCGGATTTCCCCGAATTTCCCTCGCCGGCATCGCCCCGAGTTTAAAACGCAGCTGCTGCCGAGTCTGCACGGCTACGTATCGGGGAAAAAAGAAACCATGCTCGGCATTTGAAAACTGTAAAATGAACAATTAAAAGAAGAAGCTTATTCGAAATTAGCTTATTGTTAAAACCAAGGACCCTCCTTAGATTCTTGGTGTTCGATTAAGAGTTAACCTCATCGAAGAAATTGAACTTTCGCTCTAGCCAGGGCCTCCGTAGCTCATCCTAATTCTGTGGAACGGACTTTACGAATGTGTTACTTATTTTAACGTACTGGTGCCGCACACCTCGCACCCCCAATTCCTCCTCCTCCTTCTCTAGTAAGAGGAAATGCCTTCTTGAAGTTTTATATTATGGTAATGTCGAAATCCGAACGTGGATCGAGATGAAGCCTTTTAAGGATTTGTTCAGATCCAAAAGGAAGAAGCTTATCTCATCACGCGTCCAGGTCAAAGACGCCTATATTGTTCGGCAGATCGATCGAGCTAACAAGACCCTGTTGCACAAAACGGATGCGACTATAAGTGACGTGTAATGCACCGTCTTCCGAAGCTTCAATTAAGTAAAAAAAAAATGCAATTGGATTCCGGCCATCCTTAGGCTTAGCTGGAGTGACTTCTAAAGTTCCGTTCCCCGAGAGATTTGACTTCTAAACAATGAACTTCCCCTTGCGTCAAGTTATGCTTAACAAGACTAAGTGAAGGACTGGCCACGCTTTGACATCACGTTGGACGTAACATTCCGACAATAAAAAGAAATCACGTCGTACCCAACTTCAAGATGACATTCGAGCCTCGAAAACATTCATAATTACATACTTTAACCTTGTCGAGATCGAGTCAAGGATAAATAATCTTCTTTAAATATCGCCGTAGATTATCTACCCTCTACTGAAAATCAGGTGGCACGGAATTTGATCGAGATATCGAATTTCCATCTCGAAACAAGCATCGCAAAAGAGATAGGTAACCCAAAAAAAAAAAAAAAAAAAAAAAAAAAAGTAGAGTCATCGAAAAGTAAGCGGGCTATTTCCGTCGGTGCAAATTGAAATGAGAGCCCAATTTCACCAATTGGGCCTCCTCCCACACGTGCCGAGTGCGCTTTCGACCCGTCTTGTGCGCGCGCGTGTTCGTTTCAACCTTATGGAGAGGAGAGAGAGAGAGCCCCATCACGCCTCCGCGCAGCTGGCGTGGCGGTCTTCGGAGCCACGTGGCACCAATGAGAGCCGCCGCAGCCTTATCCCGCATCCAATAATGAAATCTCCTCGTCATCCAGTTCTCCCCCCATATCCGAACTCGGCCATTTCCCTTCACATGTTCCCTCCCCACGCTAAATCCGAACGCACTTCTTTAGCACATCATTCGTCGTCGCGTTCCATACAAAAGAAACCGAAACAAGTGTTCGGAAGCGAGCGAGAGAGAGAGAGAGAGATAGCGGAGGAGGAGAACGATGGCGTCCACCACATGCTTCTTCCACCACAATGCGCTCACCACTCCCGCCAGGACCCCGTCCCAGCGCTTCGCCCCGAGCTTCAAGCCCCCCCCCGCCCAGGTAGCCTGCCGGGCCCAGAAGCAGGCCGCCGGCGAGGAAGAGAGCCAGAGCGGCGCCGCCGCCGCCGTGTCGCGCCGCCTGGCCCTGACCGTGCTCATCGGCGCCGCGGCCGTCGGGTCCAAGGTGTCCCCTGCCGATGCCGCCTACGGTGAAGCCGGTACAGATGCGATTTTCCCCCCTTGCCTTTTCTGCTGATCGGGTTCTTACTAGATTGTCATTGCTTGGTGCATCCGTTCTTCACAAGCTTATATATATATTTAAGAGTAGCTGCTTGCTGTTCGAGGGTAGAATTATATCCGACAGGTTGGTTACTAGATGTCAAGATATCCATGGTTAGTCTCGAACTGAGTGCGTGCTTGATCGTTTACTTACTCCATGGTCAAGCTGTTAGAAATCGGCACTGATCAAAGATGATGAAAGCTGAAGTTGTGTAGTTTTCATGCGTGGATGAAAGGAGTGTTTCGTACGCTCGATGCGTTGGGTGGAGTTCGACTCGAGGGGGGGCGCCCTCGAAGCTCAGATACCATTTGAAGTCTTGAGTAACGATGATAATTTTTGTGTCTTAGCACTCGCTCATTTAAGTGAAAAGAATCACGCGAACCACCCCGCGCAAACTTGCCTGCGGTGTTAACAAACCGGCACCGTTTTGAGTTTCGGAATTGCGCATTGGCATTCGCAAAGAGTCTGATTCGGATCTTTGGGTGTGAAACATTTGCAGCCAATGTGTTTGGGAAGCCAAAAGGCAACACGGACTTCTCGCCGTACACCGGGAACGGGTTCAAGCTGTTGATCCCGTCCAAGTGGAACCCGAGCAAAGAGGTGGAGTACGCCGGCCAGGTCCTCCGGTATGAGGACAACTTCGACTCCACCATCTATGTCGCTGTCATTGTCACTCCCACCGAGAAGAAATCCATCACCGACTACGGCTCTCCCGAAGACTTCCTCAGCGAAGTAAAGCTCTAAAATCTTCCCTCTCGAGAGTCATCTGAAATTGTCTTCGATGAGCACAGGAGGAGCTAATAACAACGCCTCTCATCTCTTTGCAGGTCAACTATTTGCTGGGCAAGCAGGCTTACTCTGGCAAGACTGACTCTGAGGTAATCTTCAGTTCCACATTACCATTTCAATCACTACTCAAACCTTAGAAACAAGTCCTATGTATCATACGAATTGCGAGTCTTCCGAAGCTCCAAAGAAGATGATTAAGGGGTGGATACCTCGCTTATAGTCAAGACATCGGGAAAATTCGTTGCGACTTATAAATAAGAATCCCGCTCGCACTCGCCTTTAAAGGTCGTGATGTCGATTCTCATCCATCCATCTTTTGTTGTTGCGCTGTTAGCATGACCTCCTCCTCAACTCAAGCGGGTCGCGTTGAATGACATGTTTTTCCCGATGCAAACCTAAAATATTTGGTGTGCAGGGCGGTTTTGAGAGAGATGCCGTGGCAACAGCTAATATCTTAGAGACGTCGACCCCCGAGGTCGGCGGGAAGAAATACTACTTCGTGTCGGTGTTGACGAGGACCGCCGACGGGGACGAGGGAGGGAAGCACCAGCTGATTACCGCCACCGTCAAGGACGGGAAGCTGTACATCTGCAAGGCTCAAGCGGGCGACAAGAGATGGTTCAAGGGAGCCAGAAAGTACGTCGAGAGCGCCGCGAGCTCATTCAGCGTGGCTTAAAGATCGTCCGCGACGAGGGCTTTAGCTTGTAAATCAATCAGTCTCCAATGTATGAATCCCACCTTGGATTTGCCCCCATCTTGTTTTTGCTTATGGAGTTCCAGAGATTAGTAATCATATTGAGGAAGTTGAATCAAGAAAACCTTGTTGATATTAAACATTTTCAAGGCATAAAATCTTCTTCTTGCGAGAAAAAAAGCGTGCGGCCGCGTGAATCATCCATATCCATTGAAATCTTGGACAAGCTTTTCATGTTCTTACCACTTCAAGAAACATTTCGTGACATGAGGGTAGAATCCTCATGAACAAGCTTTTCGTATCTTTTTCCCATGAGGTTTGGAACAGCCGAACCCGAGCACTTCCATCGTTAGAAAAGCGGTTTCGAAAACTCGCGTCGCCGACGACTGAGATTGGAAGGTTGAAGGCCTATCAGGATGGTGACGATCGATCGGATAGCCTCCACGCTTCGCCATCCTCGTCTCGAACCTGATGGACTCTCTCTTATGTGCTGGTCCTCAGCCTTCGCGCCAAAGGTGAAAACGTACTAGAGTTTGGTAATTGTTGGGAAGGTTGGCTAAAAAAGGGAGGAGTTGCTAACCTACAATTAGTCGGTATTTTTATTATAGAAAAAGTTTGTAAGCAATCGGTAACTCCATACAGGAATTAGTATGTTAAGAAAAGTTGGGTAAGTTGTTAAACAAGTGATAGTTAGCTCAAATAAGAGCTTGTATCCTATAATTAGTTAGCAATTTCATTAGAAAAAAGTCGTTACGTAATTTGATACGAAAATCGATAACTTCAATAAAAGTTCATAAGTTACTAGAAAAAATTGACAATTCGAAAATGACCTCATCAAATGCTGGTAATTGGTTCAAATAACAGTTAGTAACCTAAAACTGTTAGTAATCATGCGAAAAGGTGATTCGACAAATCATAAAAACGTTAGAGTGACATGATAAAAGCGGTCCAAATATCAAGTTGAGAATTTTTTTTTCTTTTTTTCTATTTTTCTTTTTTATCTTTTGAGTGACATCGAGGGTGCCCATGGCAATGATTGTGTGCCCGAGAACTGATTCTGCTCAGAAATGGTTCTTTTTTATTCTGTGTCCGAGAATAATTTCTAAGCATTTGGAAGGCGTTTGGTAACTGCCCAAAATTTCTATTCTTAAAATAGAAAAAGAACAAAAATGCGTTTGGTAATTACACAAATTTCTTTTTATTAATAATATTTTAATAATATATTGAATTTTTTAATATTTCTTTCTCTTTTTTTCTTTTTTTTTTCTTTCTTTCCCTTCCCTTCTTTGGCCATGGCCAGTCGCCAGTGACGGTGACCGGCCACAGGCCAAGGCCGGCGAGGGCGTCGCGGCCCTCACCGCCGCCCTCGTCGTCGCGACCCATCTCCTTTGCTCGGGTCACGACGGCGAGGTTGGCCTCGTCTTGACTGGGCGAGGCTCGACCTCACCCAGATCTAGCGAGGCCGACCTCGCTGTCACGACCCATCTCCCTCGCCTGGGTCGCGATAGCGAGATCGACCTTGCCATGGCTGGGCGAGACCTCGCCGTCGCAGCCGCGAGCCACCCTCGCCTAGGCAGCGAGGGCCGCAATGCCCTCACCAGCCCTGGCCTATGGCCGGCCGGCAGCAGGCCAGGAAGAAAAAGAACAAACCAAGAAGGAAGAAGAAAACCAAGAAGAATAAGAAATGGAAAAATTAATTCCAAAATCAAGAATCTACTTTTTTTTTGCTTCTTGATTCTGTTCCAAAACTGATTCTGGAAATAATTTTTTGCAAATTTATGCCCGGAAACAAAAAAGTAAACAAATCGATATCTGTTCCCAAAATGATTCTGGGAATAAAATAACAGAAATTTTCACTATTTGGCAAGTTGCCAAACGACCCCTACTTCTCCCCCTGAAGCATTATATTGCTACCCTATTTTCTCGATTTCAGTCTTCTTTTTTGGTTATTTCAGTTTACCCATCATAACCCTTTTCTTGTACTTTGCTCTAACCTGTACACTACAAGAAAAGTGATCCATAGACAACACAATACAGAACAAAACATCTGTTGCCGTAGATAACATCCTAAAGCAACAATTTCATATGCTCGTTGCTGAAAATTACGAGCTAGATAGATCTTTTCGCAACAAATTTGTTCCTTCAGTGCCCGACTTTCAAATTGGTCTTTCATGAAGAAATTTAAGGCAACAACATTCCGCTCTTGTCGTTGTTACAAGTGACTTCGGCGACGAAAAAGATCACTTGGCTATAGCGAAGATACAAAATGTCATCCTACATTTCTTCCGAAAGAAAACGTTCACTCCTCGTCCAGAAGGAAACTACAATGGCATAACAAGTGTACCAGAAGCCAATGCCGAAATGCATGCGGAAAAGGCCACTAGGTCCAGCACTAGACAGCTCAGATCCTGAACAATGATCTAAACCATAGCAAGAAGACAGGCCTTAAAAGGAACACGATCTCACAATGAGATGGAAGAATGAGAAAGTAGTTCCCGGTCGAAGTGAAAGGCCTTTTTCCGTACTTCTTGTTTCTTACTTTCAACCCCGGCTACCAGAAGTATCAAACTTACAATAGAAAACCGACCAATGCACTACTTTAGCCCACAAAAGAATTGATGTAAAAGAAAGGCTGCAGATTTTTTTACATTTGGAACTTGCAATAACCGGATAATGGTAAGCCTACAGACAAGTACCAGTTCAATATCTGCCTGAGCAAGCAGCATGTTAATCTGATATGAAAACAAAATCAAGAAATGGATTATAATGTGTACGATCAGAATACAGCCTGAGAGATCGATGCTCTATCACCCGATGCCCACAAGTTATGATGAAACAGTAAAAATTTATTACCAGGAAGTTGGCTGAAGATTCACATGCTTGTTCTGTCTGCTTTTTAGATGAACATACGAGTATTTACACCAAAGCAACGGCTAAGAAAGCAGTATCAGCGACTGATGTGGCCATGCATCTTTCTTCTTCTTCTTCAGCTGGTGCCATTGCCATTACAGTAGTGGACACCGTTGGAGCGTGCACCCTTGTGCCTCGTTTTTAGCTCATTCAAGCCCCATATCCGGATGGTACGGTCGTCACTGGCCGACGCCAACATGTGGTGGTTTGCTGGGTTCCAGCTCACACAATTTACAGCTCCTGAGTGACCCGGCAATGGCTCGATCAGCTCCGACGAGCCTTTGTGCCAAATGTAAACCTAAACACATGACAACAGGAAACTTCATCATTACTAGAGAGTACCACAGATAAGGATTCGAAAAAACACCTTCAACACACAAAATTAATTATTTCAACCTCCATAATATCCTCTGTCATACCAAACTGGTGACTATAAGAAATAAAAGGGAAAAGAATCCAACCCACAATAAAGTATCACTATCGGACTTTCAATTGAAAAGTTTCTAAAACTCCCTACCAAACCTTCTCTCGCTGTTGCATGCACATGCACACAGTGCATATGATTAGAGAAAACATCACGAGCGTTCTGAAGGGAAAAGACTTGACTCACAATCTTGCCACTGATAATGGACAGCAATTATTGAACATTTGCAGTGGCCTAAACTGTGTAACAAGCCAATTACAGGAACTCCAAAATAAGGCAAGTTATAATCAATAAAAGATATAAACAGCATAACATAGTGCTGCTACAGGAAGTTGATATTCAAGTCATGACTCGAGACTGCATTCTCTATTAAACTTGAACAACATGAATCGATGATTGAGCCAATAATGTCCCAAACAGAGAGAGAGAGAGCAAAAACCCACAAGACTCCTCATCAACAGCATTGCCGATACAGATCTACTGAAGTGAACAGTAAGCACAAGACCTCTTAAGTAGGATTTACAATGACATGCTGTCATTGCTTAATTTATGCAAATGTACAAGGCAATGCTGTTAAAAACTTAACCGCTTTTGAGAAAGAAAAACTGAGGTAATGCACCCACGTAGTCTGCTATTTCCCAAACTCTAAAAGCACAATTGTCTATTGAGTCAGACCAAAATACTCAGATATGAAAGAGTCACCTAATGAGCTCCAGGCATAAGTAGTTTCATGGAAGCAAGAGACATGAATATGTGCTTTGTGTGCTACCAAGAGCAAGCGTATGCCTTGTATCTTTACAACTAAAGATCAAATGGAAAATACACACCTGTGAGTCTTCACTACCACTGGCAACAAAGGCCTGATTGAGTCCACCAAAGCAAGACCTGATTACAAACCGACTGCGCTTAAGACCTTTGTACTTTGCAACCAGCTTGAGATCCTCTTGTATATCCCAAAGATGGATCTCTTGGTTCAAGAGATTAACAAGCAAGTATCTATTATCCTTCGACAATGAGAAAGAAGTTATCGTTTGTTGTTCTTCTATCAATCTTTCATATTTCGCTTCCCGGTCAAGTAAAAGTATTGCAGTTTCTCTACAAATACTTATGATCTGCTTTCCATCGCTAGTAATTTCCAAATCAGAAATACTAAGAGTTCTCTGCCCTTTCCAGCATTCAATCTCTTTTCCCTCCAAGTCGCACATGCATATGCTCCGATCACTAACACCATAACATATCCATTTTCCATCTGGAAACCACGCACATGATATGAGGCCATGGCCAGCTTTCTCGTAAACATGGAGGCATTCACCAGAAGAGACATCCCAGCGTCTCACTGTCTCCCCAACTCCACAAGTGAGAAGCTGTCGGTCATCTGGACTCCAACAGACAGAAGAAACCGGCTTCTGGTGGCCAGTCAATTTATGCTTCAATGAGACGATGCCATTCTCATCAACCTACAATAATAACACCATTCACAATCACAAAGGAGTTCATAGTGACAAAGGAGCTGGAGACTGAAAATTTAGCCAAAAAACACAATGTCAGTCGCTTACCAAAAGAAACCAGATATCCTCAGTCATGCTTGCTCTTCAGAGAATAAACATGCTCGAATTTTCATAAAAATCATTAATTCGAATGTTTCATGATAATCATTTCATGAAATATCATTCCAGATTCCAGTCTCTTGAGATGAGACCCATATTCTTTTCCAATACAGTGGGAGTTTTTTTTAAGTTAAAGAGCCCTTCCTCCACTCATGAATGTGAAGAAAGCACTATATTCAAAGAAATACAATCTTCTATAAGCCCAATACTACAAAACATCGGCCTGCCAGATGAGGTTGGGTGCTAAGCAAGAATTCTAAATTTACCACATCAGATAAGCAAAAATTATCAGCACAAGAAATGAGAAAAAGATCAGAAATTTTGACATGGTAAAAAGATTACCCAAAATGATAGCTTCACATCAGTAGATGAAAATTTTACATCAAGAATGTAACTGAATGTGGTTACAAATGACAAACGCTTAGCAACTAGACAGAACTTAATTCGATCCAATCGATTATCAGATTGCATGATGATGAGCCAAATTAGGTAAAGGTGGATGGATAGAAATTTGACTTCAAGCACGGTTATTAAAAAGCACTCTTCCCCAAAAAAAAAATGAACTCAAAGCATGCAATATTACCTCCCAAATGATTGCCGATCGATCATTGGATGCAGAAGCTAAATATTTCCCATTATGTGAAAATTGCACAAGCCAAACTTCGTCATTATGTGATTGTAAAATCTGTTCCAAAAAAAAAATAGTTATATATAGTAAGCTCTCAGTAAAAATTCCCGACAAATAATAGGAAACAAACACTATTTTAAGCTTTCAACAAGAAGTCAATTAAATTAAAATACAACCATTGCATAAAATGTTCTGATGCACTAACCTGCAAAGTTCGACAGGGGATTTGATCTTTACCACATTGATGATCAGTGTACAGTGACATTTCCTTATCAATAGAGTTATGAAACATACATGCATCTCTTTGCAGGACAAGGGCCTGCTCCACTAAATGTTCCAACCTTCTTTCTGGGATCATAACCGTTGGAGGAAGTAATTTTTGCAATTCCTCCAGAAGATCTGAACGGGACCTTGCTCTTGCACTATTTGCTTTACTCTGATTTAGGGGCCCACGTGATGATGGAGAGACAATGCACGACGAGAGCTCACGTACCCTGCTATTTTTTATGCAAAGAGGTGTGATCTCCGTCCTTAATGTCTTCAGAGCATCCATGACTTTTTCCTGATCCAGAAGTTCTAAGAATTTCTGCTCCAATATCAAGAAAGAGGCTGACTTCACTAAAGTTTCATCTGAGAGACCAATTTTATGTAATGTCACCACGCTTTCATCCCAAAGCCCACCATGTATCTGTTGCGTGAACGTGTTTACCACAGAGGAATGCAACGGTATCCCAGACTCTTCCTCCAAGCGAGCACCACTCTTTTCATAACCAAGGGAATATAATGCCTTCGCTATAATTCGTACAAATTCAACTCTTTTGATCACACCCTTTGAACCAATAACTTCTTCGCCCCCTTCGATTGGTAGGGGCCGAGCCATTAAATCTAGCGAAGAGCCAGCTACAGGCTCTGTATGAGATGAACCGTTTGCAAGACCTCTCAAAACTCTGGATGATAGCTTCATGCGTTTTGAGGCTGGTTCACTCTCATCCTCAACACCTCCCATGAAAAGTGCACCTCAGCCCATATATTTTTGAGCTTGTAAAAGGCCAGATCTCAGGAGAAGTTTATGATCCAAAGTAATGGACAAGTTGCTTTTGGCTTCTCCCTGCACAAAAAAAGCAAAAGAAAGCATTGCATAATCTAAGATTTGGCATCCATAGGAGAAAAAAGAACCTTTCCAGATATGTCTTCACTATGACAATGCAAAGCTAAACAAATAAATGATTGGTGCAGCGAAGAAATTTGAATTCAACAACAATCTCGTCAGCTGATCATCTGTATTAATGTATGCAGCATTTTCCCCGAGTTCTTTTTCAAGGATACAACAAAATTCTTCCCAGGCTCACTGTATAAGGGATGGATCTGAAGATAGCATCCATCACAGAGTCACCTTCAGCACTTCCCTTGACTGGATAACATCATGGTCACTTTTTAAAGATTTGTGAATTCTATTTAATGATCTGCATCTAAAACAATTGTTCCTTAGCCAAAGTAAAAAGTTCTGAACTTTCTGAAGAAGTATGATAAGCTTCATAAGCTTGGCACTAAAAACTTTTGATTGGCAGTGAAATGCAGATACCAACTCCAACATTATTAGCAGCCACTGGAACTGATCTTCAGATTATGCTCGAAACAGATATTTATTTTAGTTTAAGCCGGATAAGAACCGGGTTCACCAGTCTACCCTTAGACGCTTAAAGAGAGAACATTTAGACCTTGATATCATAGGTAAACATACAGCACAAACTATAACACTGATAACACCAAGAACAAGCGTCTTTTGTTGAGTGGTCTGAACTTGGAACCTAAGAACAAGCCAGGTTATTAGTATGCCATCCCTTGTCATTGGCAAAATGAATATAGTCGTGTCATATAAGGAATACTAGAATGCATAGTTGAAGCAAAATAGCCAAATTAACTTGACATCATCATGGACTCAAGGAGATAGAGTAAGGAGAATGTTGACTGCTGTAGAATGGGCAGGGTTTCGGGTTATGAACTCTTCACCTACTATCCACCAGAGCCATTTGATAATACAGCCCTAAACAACAAGAAGAGTCGAGCCAAGGTCAGATGAAATGCTCCATTTTGCTTTCACAAGAATTGAACAATCCTCTGGCCTTAACAAGAAAATGTAAATCATCATTGCCATCTGTCTAGGGAAAATCACCAATCTAAGAAGTCCGAGGGAATTAAAAGACCTCACAGAACATTCTTGAAGTGATATAAGAGACTAATTTACAGTAGAACACACAACGTAAGAATAGCCAGTTCACGTCGAAGTTGCATCACCACAAAAGCTCAGCAAAAACAAACCATGGATAATGAAAAGCAGCCTATTTTTCACCCACAAAGAAAATCAAAGAAGAATCCAACCTATGCTTCCACTTCAGTTCCATTGGTTAAGTATAATTATTCTCAACTCAAATGGTCAAGCTTCTTTCCTTCTGACTCGTACCATTACCAATTCCACCACCACCCATAAACATGAGTCAGCAATATCCTCACTTTAAGAAACTTTTACAAAATGGAACCACCTACTGTGAATAGATCCTACAAAAGGAAAATTTCCATACAAGAAGGCATCACGGGTATATAACGAAACTACGCTTGTGAAACTTTCTCAGTTTGTATTTCGTAGTTGTGCTGGGTTTTAAGGTTGGCCTTGTGAACAAATTTAATACCATTTGGGACTTCAAAGTTCAAGAAACGACATTTATTGGGAACAGGCATGTTCAGGAACATAAAACTTTCAATTACGAAAGTTCTCAAGAATCTCAACAAATCTGCACATTAAAAGCATAAGGCAAATTACCTACTGATAACACCCACAGAGGAACTGCCGGTGTTATAGTAAATAAAACAATGTGAACCTCAACCATCCCCTCAGATTAGTAAAGTAGTTTTGCACTTCCTAAATGTCGAGTGTCGGATTGCAGGATAAATCTCAAGTCATATGGCAGTATGCTAGTACATTCTTTCCCATTTACTCGAATCCAAATCGTCTGCCCCCTGGATGGCTTAGATCCTCCTAAAGAAACATTGAGTCATCAAGCTACAATTTTGTACAAGCAACCCGACATTGATGGATGCCGTCCGGACAAGGAGCGAGAAATGAGAATAAAAAACCGCGCACCGCAGATTTCCGGTCTATATTCACTTTTTTAACTCGAAACAAGCATCATAACAGCTAGGAACAAATGAAGAATCTGGCAATACCAACCACTGGATTGAACAAATCGCCAAACTCAGACTCACTACCGCATCAAAACGACGACGACAAACCATGTCCGGTCCAACTAAACCCAGGGCTCACCGAAAAATACCACGCAGCTAGACAAGAAAACCACCATCATCGCAGGCAAAAAAAAACACGATCGACCCACAAGCCCAAAACAAATATAAGGAATCAAGAAACCGAAGGCAGAAAAATCTCGAATACCCAAGAAGCGACCGACCACGCAAGGCACAGAACCCGATTCAGATCAGGGGAAACAACGGGAACCCAGAAACGTGGGCAGATGGCGAATCAACCAAGCAAACCGTCAAGCATCGTTGGGGAGGGGAGGGAGGGGGAGGGCAAGGCAAGATGCGCGCAGGGCCTCAAACGAGGAGCGCACACCACCGCCCCCCACCACCACCACCACCACCACCACCACCATTTTTTTTTTTAATCAAACTCGTCGGCACACGCGAGCACCGGATTAAATTAAACGGTGGCGTCGATGGAGGTGGGAGGAGGACTTTCGCTCCCCAGATAAAACACAGCAGGTAAATACTAATGGGGATGACGATGGTGGGGCATTCAATTTAAAGCCGAGAGAGGAACTTCCACAAATCACACAAATTTGGGCACCAGAAGTTTAAGAGAAGCGGCCGACGACGGGGGGTCTAAACATACGATCCTCCCCCCTTGCTCTCGTACGGGGGCAATGAAGGATGGAAAAAAGGAGAGAGAGAGAGAGAAGGAACTCGATGATAGGTACCTTTGCTAAAGGTGAGAGAGAGAGAGAGAGAGAGAGAGAGAGAGAGAGATGGGAGCAGAAGTTTTCTTAGAGCTGTGGTGCTATCTTGGCGTGCAGGGAACCAACTCAGTAGTTATAGGTTTTTTTTTACATGTGTGGAGCGTTTTGCCAAAGGGTGTGGGAGAGTAGTAAGCGGCTTCTTCTTGATGATGGTGTGATGGACGAGGACGAGGAGAGGCGGTCGGGGAGTGGGCTTTGGGCTCTGGGCCCTTGGCACTTGGGCAGGCGCTATTCGTCTTTGGGCTGGGCCTTCTTGCGTGGGTGCGGAAAAAGTGATCTGGGCCGGGTTTGGGAAAAAGTGTTCGGATTCGAGTATCTTGGAAATGCGATCCCGGTGGTTTTATATGTTTTTTCCCCCTTTTGAGTCGGACGTCGTCGTGTCTTTGTCATCCACTTAATTTAAGTTCTAATCGAGTTTTGGAATGTGACGGCATCGATTCGTCGAATTTGGGATTATTTTTGGCCCCGAGTAGCGTTCGCACGACGTGGTAATTAGGCGCGTCAGACGGGTAGGTCGAGACGGATTTTTCGGGTCGGGCTTGAAATTGTCCGACCCGCTCTCTACCCGATCCATTTAACCCGTATTGACCCGTTTTTACGCCATACGATTTTATCGCCCATGCCCGACCCAATCCGGACTCCGGTTTTTAGGACTTCACGAGGCACGCGAGCTACGTGGAGACGTGGATGACCGGCGTGCGCCGACGGATAAGAACACCCGCCGGATGGGTTCCCTGATTGGGTTGTGGGATGGGGCATGGCGGTGGGGGCGAGGCAAAAAATGGTGGATCTTGCCCAATTACCGATAATGCTCTCGTTCACGTGAACCGGTTCGCTTTCATCCCGATGTCAAATAGGCCCCGTTCGGTCTAATTCTCAAGTCGAACTAGACCCGGTGCTCGCCCCTAGCTATCGTCATCACCCCATTCTATTGCCGCTCTCTCGGTGTCGGGTGACAAATTAGCAAATGTAAAAATTAATATATGAAAAAATAAAATCAAGAAAAATTCAAAGGTGTATATTTTTTTGCCTAAAAAATCTCGAAAGCTTAACAAATAGTCAAACAAAACAAAAAGAGTAACATTGTCGATGTGGAAATTCCCAAAGATCTGCAACGTTGCGATCATTGCAAATTTGGACCACTCAGTGACGTCGCCGGCGATGGATTAGCAGCAGCAATCACGTTGGTCACTACCAGATATTTTCGCGCGTTGAGCACAAATCTTCTTTTCTGGACCTAAGTATGTACTTCAAAAGGTTTTATCTCGATTTTATCCGACTCGATCACCATGACGTAAAACTTCAAAAGCATTTCTTTCCAAAGAGCATTTCTTCTATTTTCGTAAGTCTTTTTCGTCACGATCATAGTTTTCTCTTCCAAAAATTGGAGATGGAAAAAAAAAAAAAAAGAAGGAAAATCAGAAGTTGTCATGGTCATGGTGCGCAAGCAGAGCCCAATGGGCCCAAAAATTAAAGACCATTTGACCTAAGTATGTACTTCAAAAGGTTTTATCTCGATTTTTAAGCCATTGAATATGAGTTGAAATAGGGGTCCGCGACCCATTTTGTCACCCTTAATGTTGACATAGGTCCGTACCGGAAAGATTTAGTTCTCTAATATTACTCAACGTTATGAAGATTACATTTTTATTTATGTGAGTCTTCCAAGTAAGGTATACTTGTGATGAGTTTATCCTGCTAGTATTAAGAATTTTTTTTCCCTCCTAAGCATGAGGTAAAACTGCTTCGTCCGAGGTTTCATGCGGACCTCGGCATCTTAAGACGTAAAGCACCTAGAGGATATTCCCTCATCTTAAGAAAGACGGGAGAGAGAGAGAGGATTACGAGGAGCAGAGGGTACATTAAATTAAGAGTGGACAGACGCAGATACCACATGTTGATTGGAAATAACCCATGATTTGTTGAGATAATCGATGTAACCACTAATCAAGAATCCAAAACAGATCTCCTGATTACACCGGTTAAAAAATGTTTTGGCCAAAGTTACGTTTTACATCATGGATTTTACTTTTCGAAGACCACCTTTAGCTGACCCTTTGGCATTCTTTCCAACCAAAAAGAGTCAACAACTTGGGCCTTAAGTTAGCTGGTAGTACCTTAGATGATGTGGAAAGGCAATGAATGGTCTTTGCGCCGTCCGATACAGCCGACGTGAGAAGTTACCTGATTTTATTTACCTTTAAAAAGCCTAATTCCCTAAAAAAATTTCAATTTTAGGTCAAGTTTCAAATATGTCCGGAACTTTTCTTTGTCTAAAAAAATACCCCAAACTTCAGGTCGAGTCCCAAATATGGCCCGAATTTTTTTTTTATCTCACAAAAAACTCCAAACTTTAAGTCCAGTCCCAAATATATCCCAAATTTTGTTTTGTGTAAAAAAAATCATCAAAATTCAATTTATTTTAAAAAATATATCCCCGTAATCTAGTCTCAACTTGACGTGGCACTTCCACGTCGATAACAAATCCACATTAACAAAGTAATTGGGCTTTTTTTTTAGAGAAAGAAAAATTCGAGGCAAATTCGTACTCAACCCAAAAATTGGGTTTTTTTTATATTAAAAAAAGTTTTTTTTGGGTGGATTTGTTATCGTTCATAACTTTCATATCCTAAATCGGTCAATAATTTTTATTGGATTGGATTTGTTATCGAAGTGGAAATGCGACATCAGCCTATACCTATCGCCTCATTACTTTGCTGATGTGTATTTGTTATTGACGTCGAAGTGCCACGTGAAGTTGAGACTGGATAACGGGGGTATATTTTTTAAAATAAATAAAATTTGCTGATTTTTTTACACAAAACAAAATTCGGGACAGATTTGGGACTAAAATTAAAGTTTGGAATATTTTCTAAGACAAAAAAAAAAATTCGGGCATATTTGGGACTGAACCTAAAGTTCGGAGTTTTTTCTGAGACAAAAAAAAAGTTCGGGGTAGATTTGAAACTTGACCTAAAGTTATGAGTTTTTTTTTTTTTGAATTCATTCATTCGTCTTTAAAAGATGGACTTTTAGAAAAATAAAAATAAAAAGAATAATACCCAAAAAAATAAAAGAATAAAATGCAAAAAAGAATGGGAGAAGAAGGAAACGATTCTTCTGGACTGGACAAGGATCAAGCAGTAACTTGATTCTAGGACGATCTCTGGTCCTATCAATGGTGGGACCAATACAGCGCTTTGCACACAAAACCAAATAGAGAGGCAGGAGGGCATCCGGGGAGGCGGCAACCGAAAGTCCAAGGCCCGTCCGTACCAAAAAAATCGTAAATTTATTATAATTATATTAATTCAGTTCTAAATTTTTTTTTATCAATTAAATCGTAAATTTTTTATAATTGTGCCAGTTCAATCAATTCGGCCAACTTTGACACGTCTGTCATGATGTGGACACTTTTTAATAATATTTTAATATTTTTTCGAATTTTTAAATTTATTTTCTTTTTCTATCTCTTTATTTTTTTTTTGTCTTCCCTTCCTTCTTCCTCCAGCCAGCCGGAGCTGAGGGCTGGGAACCTCGCCCAACGATGGCAAGAGCTCGCCCAAAGACGGCGAGGCCAACCTCACCGACCCTCGCCTCTAGCCGGTCGTCGAGGTCCAGCAACTAGCCGGAGGAAGTAGGAAGGGAAGAAGAAAATAAAAATAAAGAGAAAGAAATGAAAAAAGGAAAAAGAAAATAATAAATAAATAAATAATATTAAAATTTTATTTTAAATTGTCCGCGTCTGGCCGCGTCCTGTAGGATGGCTGACGTCCACATCAGCACCGGCTAGCCAAAATTGAGAAGATAAATTGAATTAGCACAACTATAAAAAAGGTTTATGACTTAATTAGCCAAAAAAAAAGTTTAAAACTGAATTGATACGGTTGCAATAAGTTTAGGACTTTTTTGGTAATGCTCTCGTCCGAGAGTACCTTTTGTCATTGAAAAACTGCTTTGATTGTGACACATCTCGTTATGCGACTCAAACTTTCAGAGCTTTATAAGTTTTCAAGTTAAATTACAAGTTCCTAACTAAGCTACCATTCAATCTTCTTTTGATGACGCACCCAATGACTATCCGAGCAACGTTTACATCCCGAGCGGACATTTCCCCTTCGCCTCTAACCGGCACAACTCAACGCCACGCGATCCCGAAGCAATTGTTAGAAAGGTAAGAGCTTCCGAAGTTTCCCTTGCTGAGCTTGTGAGTGGGTGGTATTCTTTCCAATTAGTTCTAGGGTCGATCTTCGATACGTGCTCGTGCCGTACACGAGATCTTTTCTGGCGACATGAAATCTCACCGATTTGATTTTTCATACGGCAAGAGCCGAGCACACAAAGTTGACT